GGAGCTACCATCCTCACGCGCTGCAACTGCTCGTCCTCTCAGATCATGAGCTTGACCGGCCATAAGAGTGACCAGTCTCTTACCGTATACCAGCAAACATCCAACCAAGAGAGATTTGCTATGGGAAGCACCCTCGCCTCTGCTCTTACTGAGAAGCCTATTCCTGCCTTGACACCGACTCCTGTGTATCTTGCCTTGGCACAATCATCATGCACGACGTCTGCGCTGCCCAATACTGTAAGTGCCAGTGTAGACAGTGCTGATATCCCTGAACTCACTGACAATCTACTGAGTGAACTTTTTCAGATTCCGACTGTGCTGGCAGTACTAACATTCAGAACTCACTCAGACAAGAATCTGCACTCTTTTCTAATTGCAGAATTGGAACAATCAATCTTGTTATTCGAAAATAAGATGCTGGAATATCTGCAGCTGCTGTAATGTTTAGTATTGTTATTCCACACTTCGTTTTCATGTGTATATCTATTCGTATATATGTTATAACACAAGCAAACTGTAGCTCAAATAGGGCTGCACAACAAAGACAAAATGACCAGTCTTTCTATATGCGAGCGAAGCGAGCAAAGGTTGGCAACCTACTTCCCTCGCTTCGGTTCGAAAAATAATTTTAAGATCAAAATACAATATCGCCACCATCAAAGGTAGACATCCATTTCCTCACAGGGTTGTGCTCTCAGATTTCCAGCCTCATATTTAATAATTACTCACGTACAGTATATTTAATTCAACATTTTAAGCGCCACCCGCGACATGTCATATCGTACTTCGCCGCCATTACCCCTGCCAGCTTCCGGTTCAATGGAGTGAAGGAACAAGAATACGAAGAAATTAAAAAGAAATATCATATTGCCTAATTTCACCATTAAACTTAAGGAGATTACTTTTCTTATCTGCCGTCGTTAGAATTTTCGTAACATTTATGGCGGAGCGAAAGCGAGGCCAGAAACCGTAGGAAGGTCACGAGTTTCGTATGATTGGTATGTAATGAGACCGAGTGTGGTATTTTATTTATTACCTACGTCTTACATGCATTAAATTGACAAAATAGCGTATTTTTGTTATTGTTATGGTTTCAAACCGAAACCGGTTTCATAAAGAGGTTGCGGAAGAATTTGGTTCTGGGGTAGTCACTTTTGCATGACGTCACACTGTAATGACATCACTACGCCATTCTCGTCTGTCCCCTTGGTAACTGACGTCACGATGCATGACAGTTGTCATCGCCTCGTACAGCCTCCTACAGTAAACTACTCCGTTGCGCCCCTTTTCTTGGTTTGCGGTTGCTTCACTTGGCTAACATCACTGGGGGAAACTTTGCTTTTATGTTTTTCGTCGGATATATTGTCTCAGTTGCACTCACAATTAAACAGCGATACGGCAACGTTCACTCTCCTACCCAGAGTTCCTTGCGGCAAACAAGGATAGTACTAATAGTCCAGTGGCCATTCTTCAAAAGGCCTATAAAAATAGGAGCAACCCCAACCGATGGTATAACAAGACACAACCTATATTTTCTTGTACATATATGTCTATTCTTCAAGAAAAGTATGGTTGTGGTCATATGAAATGGATATGTAATATATATAATGCTCTGTTTCCATGGTAACAAGAGCAAAATATGTTTCGGACAGGGGGTTCACTTAACTACCCACTACAATATTATTTGATGGGGTATAACTCTCATCTTTTTTTAAAATGATCAATTCTTTCAGTACTAATCACTAACTGCGCCGGAGTGTGGGCAACGTTAGTAATGTTTACATTCCCACAATGCATATAAGTTATAGAATGACGTAATGACGTTACTACGCCTTGCTAAATGCCAGACCAAATAACGGTGTAAAGTGAATGAGTGGGTATGATTTCACGCCGCTTGTAGCAATATTCCGGCATGGGACAACAGAAACGGACTTCACATATTGTACCCATGTGGGGAATCGAACCCTGGTCTTCAGCATGACGAGCGGGCGCTTTAACCACTCAGCTAGCCCACCGCCCCGTCAAGGAGTGAAGACAGCAGGTGTTCGTGGTCTGTATATAATCGAGTGTGGATCAGACAATCCAGTGATCAATGGGATACGATGACAAGTGTCAACTCAACCAAGTCAGTGAGCCTGACCAACCGATCCCGTTAATGGCCTTTTACGACAAGCATGGGTTGCTGAAGACCAATTCTAGCCAGGTAGCATCACGGGGTTTCACGTAAAGGTGAACGTGTACTATGCTATCAAACTCGAAGTCCATTTTCCGACATTCTCGACATTCCTCTAAATCCGCGGCAACATTTCCTGACTCATCCTGTTGGGCCTCATCCACAATAGCTAACAGTTCACAAACGGCAAGAGGCAGTAATATCACATCAAAGTGTATTGCACTTATGAGAATTGAGCAACTGTTTTCTCTCCGTTAGTGTACTTAGTAGTGCCGATAAATTGGAACTGGGGACACCAAACTGGTGATAACTGCATTTCATGTTGCGTTCTGGAGAATGTACAATATCACAACAATACATGGCATGCATCCGAACATATATATGGTATACGCTGGTATCTATACTCTTAAAAAAAGTAGGGGAACTTCATTTTTAATTGACGATTGAAAAAATTGGGAGATATATCGGAGTCAATCAATGTCGATATTGAGATAATGAATGTTTTGATAGCGCAGCACCACTTGCACTTTCCAATGATCATAGTTGTTTGTACAGTAATCACTCTTGAAAGATGATTGGTGTATGACATGAAATTTGCATGTGTGCGATTTTCATTTCAAACCAAAAAACCAAAACGGCTTGGAACAAACACTAACAACTGTGTGATGCAAGATGATTGTCAAAATTAATGGTCTACAGTGATGTATCGACCTTCTTGAAAACCGTCAAAATCAAGAATGACACCCAAAGCATGTGTATGGGGCTACTGCGTTGTGCACGTGCACCCCATGCGTTGTGTTTAGGGGTGATGATAAAGAGAAATGGTGGTGAAAGAGTAAATGTTCATGAAATAGTCAAGGGCAATTAATTTGATATGATATAATCAATACGTTGTTTAATTTAATCTTTACGAAAGTTGTAAGAATCTTAAAAGTTGTAAAAATGCTACACAGGAAGTTTCCCAACAAGTAACAAATGTGGACATCAAATGTATTAAAGGTAAAAGTTGCAATTATATTCTACAGACTATCTACTTATACACGAATGGACATATAACACCAGAAAGATGAATAAAAGCGAGAGCCCCGTGTTCACTACCATGAAAAGTCTCTGCTAATGTCGGTCATGGTTGCCTGTTTATTATTCACAATCAAATAGTAATAATACCAGATCTTCGCGAAAGGAGAGCGCCCTCCTGACGGAACCTGTCATAAATACACGCACAATACAAAGTCAATGTGCAACTGCAAACAGGAACGTATGGTACCAATCAAAACAGGTAATTGCAGCGGACATCATTTCTGTCACTGATGCGTCAAATTTGACACGTCCTCCACATATGAATATGAATATTGAAAGCTCTACTGGGGCATTGATACTTGTTACCTTGAACTTCTCTTCTGTTTGACACCTTTTGAATGTAAGAGACCGTACAATGTGAATGCCAATCCCCAAAATCCCCCACACACACACACACACCCTTCTAAAATTAATGTACAAAGTCATGACATGGGCAAAATCAATGACATCCCCTCTCATACATGTGACCATAAAATTGATGACCCCCTACTCTCCAGAACAAAAATGTTAATTGAACAAATCCTATTGTTTGCACGCGCCGATAAAATAATTAAACAAGTTCAAAATCTTCTTCCGTTTGTGGGCGGCATTAATTTAACCACCGTTATATTGCTGGGATATTGCTAAAAGCGGCGTAAAACTAAACTCATACAATAATCTAAACAAAATTTCCAAATGGCGAACATCCGCTGTTTTCATCCTTCTTGAAGATGTTCTAGAGTGCGCAGCAAATAACTAAATGTAGAGCAAAGCGAAAAAACATCTGTGAAACACCTCCGCTATAACGTTCTTAAAGGAACCGCCTCAGTGGTGTAGTGGTTAGAGCGTCCGCCTGAATAGCGGAAGGTCGAGGGTTCGATCCCCGACCGCGCCATACCAAAAGACGTTAAAATATGGTACGTGTTGGTCCCTGCCTAGCGCTCGGCATTAATGGGTACAACAAAGACTGGTCGGCTCGGGGTCAATATGTGTCTGAGTGTGGTATTCATGCTTAACTGCGGAATGGTATCTCAGTGACCTAGCACTATAAAATCAGCTTAAGTCTGGGCTAGTGCAAGCAGCCGCACATACACACGCACGCACGTCGTCATATGAGCGAAATATTCTTAAGTGCGACGTTAAACCCCATTTCTCCTCACCTCACTTTCTGAAAGGACAAGGTGCCCAAGTACCGTTCGAGCGCAAAGATCATGGCTGAATTCCTTGAGCGGAAGTGTCTGCCTTTAAATGCAAAAAAGTATTGCAGCCGTCTCAAAATCTATAATTTAGTTGTGCTAAATGGCAAGGCACCAACTTGAAATGTGGTTTGTTTGTTCGTTGTTTAACGCCTCACTCAGCAATATTCCAGCTATATGGTGGCGGTGCGTCCGATGACCTGTCAACCAAGTCAGCGAGCCTGACCACCGATCCCGTTAGTCACCTCTTACAACAAGCACAGGTTGCTGAAGACCAATTTAACCCGGAGCTTCACGGTTGCTTGAACTACTAGTATGAATACAGTTGATCGTCATCAGTACGGTGCTCTCCAATCTGTGTATGCGTTAAGGCTGTACAGCAGCGACAATGCACCAGCATGATTGTGAGTGAGTTTACTTTTACCCATCCTTAAGCAACATTCAAGCAATATCACGGTGGGAGACACCAGAAATGGGCTTCACACATTGTACCCATGTGGGGAATCGAACCCGGGTCTTCGGCGTGACGAGCGAACGCTTTAGCCACTAGGCTACCCCCATCGCCCCCAACATGATAATGAAGCACTTATGTACTGGGCAGTGGCTAAACTGCAGGACAAGGCACCCAACATGGTTCGTACTGATAACAGTTCCAGGAAGCATCAGCAACCGCTGCCCCAATCTCTGTGTCATGCACCATCTGGCATGTACGTTTCGTCAACCTAAAGTTGAAACCGGTGCAGCGGATGTCCCTTTCACAGACCGAGGCACAAGCTGCGGGGTCGTCGATATCCGACTGTAGATCCTGAACGAAAGCACTGCTGAACCGTTTACCACGCTGAGGTTTGAGCGTCGAGCCTGTAAATACAACGTTATCATTCTTACACATACTGTAAAATATGTAGGTGATCAGTTGTAGCTAACACTGTCCACAATATGTGTTTGTTTCTTTGTCTGTTTGTTTCTTTGTTACAATGTGTGAAGCCCATTTCTGGTGTCCCCCCGCCGTGATATTTCTAGAATACTGCTAAAAGTTGCGTAAAACTATATTCAATCACTCAATCAGGACCAAACATATACTCTCCCCCAAAAGAAAAGGGCCCAGTGGTGCAATAACGTTTGATTCTGGAATCTATAAAACAGGCGACTTCATAAGCTTTGCATGGTAACAGACATTGATCTTTCACACTGTGAAATCTGGCTGTAACTGATCCAGAATTGCATGTGCTATCTCACTTAAATGTTTAATATTTGTGTTAATAATGAACATTGCTGTTGTCAATCTTAATATTACTATTGTGTTTGGATATTGCCAGTGTAATATTTTCTATCCTTTAAATGCTCCGGAGCTCTTATGAATGTAAACCAAACTTCCTCCGAGGATAATAAATCTTATCTTATCTTATCTTATGTTACAGTTAAAAGACTGATTTCAAAACACACCTATGCGTTTCTTTTAGGGGAGAGTAGACTTATATATATGTTAAAGCGTACTGACTTACATGAACTGAAGTGTGTTTGCTTATCCCCAAAGACTTGTATTTCACAGAACTGTAGCACATCACCATTATCTCTTCTGTTCTTCCCTGTGAGACGAAGATACCGCCCATTAACGGGCCTCGTGCAGGTCACTGTGACTGTGACCCCAGGAGACGTCACATTGCCCGAGTAGAAGTAGCATTGTTTTGCAATAGCATGTGGATTGACGGAGGGATCTATATCGTACACGTCCACGGAAAAATCGTGCAACCTCTCAGCTGAAAATAAATCATCCATATAAAACTGACGTACAAAAGAAAGTACACACTTGATGCGTTGGTAAAATGGTTTCTTAAAAACGGCGTAATATTTAGAAAAGTGTTCTGATTGTGACTGACAGGGCACAAACATTGTGTACGTGTTGCAATAACACCATAGATATGGTACCCAATTAGAACATTGCTAGCAAACTATTTACGTGTTTTTAATAGTCTCAAAACACAAGGTTTGTACTCTCTTTTGTACATCAGTATATATAATGTATCCATTTGATACTAAAATCATGTGTACAAATAACCTTAAAATCGGCTTTCATTTAGGCCTGCAGATTTGACGAGTGGTCAGGCTCGCCGATTCCCAAAACGTAGATTGATGCTCAGGCTGTTGATCACTGGATTGTCTGATCCAGACTCGACTGTTTACAAACCGCCGCCATATAGACGCAATGTTAATGGGTGTTAAACAAACAAACAGCCCCAAAATCAGTGTATGAAATAAGCCAAAAACCCAATCAGACATCTAGGCTTATAACTTCAAAAACTTACCAGCCTAGAAGAGATTTAACCAGTCCTTCTTAATACTAAATGGACAGTGCAAGTGTACACGTTATCTGAATATTTTTTTCACCCGTCCATCGGGCTGGCTAGCTGTTAACTTTAGTGTTAATTTAAACCGTCCAGCAGAAATCTAGCCCGTCAGACGGGCCGTATTTCATACACTGCCAAAAGCCCACAGATTTGAAATACAATGTACAATACCAAGTGTTTCAGAAGCAAGGAAATTAATCGAACTCCAAAATACATCAGTACTATTGGAAACCTCATACAAGTAACAAAAACTCTAATGATGTGTATTCCTAATGACGAGTATTATAGTTTGGTTTGGGGGTTGTTTAACAACCCACTATTCCAGCTATATGGCGGCGGTCTGTAAATAATCGAGACTGGATAAGACAATCCAGTGATGAACAACATGGGTATCGATGTACACAATTGGGATATGATGACATGCGTGAACCAAGTCAGCGAGCCTGACCACCTGATCCCGTAAGACACCTCTTACGAACAGCATGGGTCACCGAAAATCAATTCTAACATAAAAAAAAATATCATTACTTACGACAGCAGTCCGACCTCGATGACACAGTGATCATCTTCACTAAGACCTGGTACTGAAGGTCCACTTGCCACCAGTGATCTCGATCGGAGAAGTTTACAGAGAAACAACTATGAGAATCCCAGTGCGTGCCATTCTTGCCATCAACAGCGACACTTGGACCTTGATATTGGACAGTACTGGAAGTTGTTGGCTTCCGCAGAGCATGGTTCAGATCTGTATCATGGTAATGTTTGGTATTACATCGTGCAAAACTTCCATTTCAGGGCCGTGGGGGATTAGTTTTTGTACATCAAAGTATTGATATAACACTGTTTTGAGTGCCATATACCCTCAACGCAGCCCTAAAATCTACACCTCAGTTTTCGACGCAAAGATTGCGGGCAGCCCATCTGACAGATGATCGGTACCAGAATGATAAACCTAATTACATATGATTACAACATCCATTAATAAATATAATAAGGAATCCAGGGCAATGACATGGTATTTTCCCATTTTGCCTACATCCCCTTCGGTGCCTTCCTGGGAAGACGACCTTTGTGATTTTCTTTGAAATGCACCGCATGTTGTAATACGGGATTAAAGTGGTGGTTAGGTTAAAAAGTCGAACTTGACTGCGGAAAGAACTAAAAAATACGAAATATTGGAAGAACAAGTGACCTTTACTCCAAAGATATTTCACATTGATTTTTTTTTATTGGAAGCACCAATGAGGCTACACTCTTGTCCAAACAAATTTACTCTCTTGCGGCCATGCTTCATGCAAGGTTGAACATGGAACTACCTACTATATACAATGGACTAATCCAAATCAGTTTTAATGTTTTAATTAATTACTATTATATTATAACACGTCACAATTTAATTCTGGACTCACAAAAGTCTAGAAACTCTCCGCACTGTGGGCACTTTCTGACAAGGGATTTGACCAAATTAAACATGCAGTTGTTATGAATATATGCCGAGGATGAAAAAATGAAAAAAAAAAATCTCGAAAACTTGCCCATGGGCGAACAGTGGCCCATGGGCGAGAACGTTTAATTTCGATCAGAATTAATGTTTTGGAGGTTGTAAATGAATGAGTGTATGTTTATAAGCATCATGACACAAATTTCAACTCATTTTGACTTAAATCGACTAATTTAGGGCGATATTAAAAAATCTCGCCCATGGGCGAAAAACATTTTGGCATATGGGCGAGAATATTGACTTTTACTCAAAATACATGTTTTTCCATGTTTTGGATTTTGTAAATGAATGAGTGTATGTTTATAAGCATCATGTCACAAATTTCAACTCATTTTGACTTAATTCGACTAACTTAGTGCGATATTAAAAAATCTCGCCCATGGGCGAAAAATATGTTGGCCCATGGGCGAGAATATTGACTTTTACTCAAAATACATGTTTTCCCATGTTTTGAAGGTTGTAAATGAATGAGTGTATGTTTATAAGCATCATGTCACAAATTTCAACTCATTTTGACTTAAATCGACTAATTTAGGGCGATATTAAAAAATCTCGCCCATGGGCGAAAAATATGTTGGCCCATGGGCGAGAATGTTTAATTTCGATCAGAATTCATGTTTTGGATGTTATAAATGAATGAATGTATATTTATAAGCATCATGTCACAAATTTCAATTCATTTTGACTTAATTTGACTTAATCCATTTTCAACTCTTGTTCTCTTAAAAGTGGCTTTCCCGGGCTATAACTATCAGCACATCCCAATCCGACCATCTGTCATTAAGGTTCAGGCTCATAACGCCGACCTTTCGACTAAACTTCAGGGTTGAGTGGAAAAAAGTATCGGCGTCCTGAGACTAGTTTCATTTTGCCAAGTAATAAAGGATTACGAGGACAATGAAGGATCAACGAGTTGTTAGAACAGGATATAATCCGAATTATGCGGATGAGAGCACACCTAAAGAGAAGACGACAACAGTTTATATTTTACCAGTTTATTTCCATACTTGAAGCACTCATCAACAAACTCAGTCTACAGATTTTTACGGGTTTTTTTACAATGATTCACTTAAGTAAATACGTGACATTTTGAATAAATACATCGCATATCCGATGTGCATTCATGATACATATAGCACACATTTTTACCAAATGCAACAGCTGGAATGCTGAATCGGCAAACTGTCTCACGGACAGTGTTCCTTGCCTGAGCTGGTGACGGATGTCATCCAGTCGGTTGTTGGTTCTTGGCCCATCTGAGTTGTGGTGGTTCAATTGCGATCCACTGCGATGTATGTTCACCTAGTTCATTTTATCAAAACATCTAGAGTAGATTATCCGTAACCCTTGTTAGCCCTAATCAGAAACTGCCCATCAAAGGAAACCGCAGGTCGGCGTCCTGAGACTAGTGGAAAATCGAAAGGTCGGCGTCCTGAGACGACACCGTCATTAATTCCCCGCATGAGCTATCAGTTGCATTGAAAGCTCTCGCCTATTGTTTAATTACTTAATTGTTTCACGGATAGGTATGTAGTCACTCCAAATTCACCATATGTGCGTGACTGTCCTCTCCGACGTCCGCGCCCACCTCTCAACCTAGCAATCTCGATCCACTTTCTGTTCACTATCAAGCCATCTATAACTTCACCTATCTCTAACCACCTGTCTTCTCAGAGGTCCGCGCGCCTCTCTTTTCCTTCATTATTTTACACCAACTCTACCTCCCAACAACTACTGTCTCCTCCGAGGTCCGCGCGCCTCCAGCCACCACCGACTCCCGCCGCCTCTCAGACATCAACCCTAACAAACTCCACGGTCAAGGCCGCCCATAGCCCCTCAATTACTACACTCGCTCAGCCTGCCTTGCCCCCCTCAATGCTCCCATACCACCCCTTCACCCCATCCACCCTAGAAGGACTTACATGGTCCCTTCATACGTTGGCGGTTGTGCACAAATTTAGCCATCACTTAAAAACACAAGTATCCTACTATTATAAACCTGGTATATCTAAATTTACTTCAAATGTTTTGAGACTTACGTACCCTCTCAAGAAGACAAAACTGTGAAACCCGTGAAGGTCCGGGTTAGAATTGGCGTTCAATAACCCATGCTTATCGTAAGAGGTGACCAACGGGATCGGGTGGTCAGGCTCGCTGGCTTGGTTGACACATGTCATCGGTTCCCGGTTGCGCCGAACCCGTGAAGATCCGGGTTAGAATTGATCTTCAGTAACCCATGCTTGTCGTAAGGGTGGAGTCTACTAATGCCTACAGTGAATAATGCCTACAGTGTTAAATAAACAACTTTACGCACCAGTGCTGCTGATTGCACCTGCCTTCAACCTTTCAATAAAGTGGCATGGTCCTATTTCAAAGTGCACTAATGCCTACATTATATAGAAAACAGTAACTTTCTATGTTGAGAGACATTTTATTTGGTCATTCATATACATATGTACATTCATATACATATCTTTCACATTGTTGTCATATTTTTCTTAATTTTCTTAAACTTTATTCATATCTTTCACATAGTAGTTTGTTTTAAGATGAATAAATTTACATAAATAAACATAATCATTTATTTGGATTAAAATGTAATTAAAACTTAATTTGATTCATGATTATATATACATATATACATCTTTCACACAGTCAACTACCACATTCATTAATAAAGTCATTGTGGTAACCAAAAGTAATTTACATGTATACACACAGTTTCACACATTCATCAACATAGTCATTTGGTTTTCAAGCTAGCTTGATCAAATATCCAGCAGCAGTCAGGAATTCCAGGGGTGTCTTGATACCAGATGTCAGCTGGGCCTTCAGACGAGTGAGTCTCTGGTCAATTTCTGTGTACGTCCTCTTGTGGGGTGGGGGGACGGGCGCCATGAGCCATCTGCACCAGCTTATTTCTCTCCGCTTTCTCCAGCTTCTGCAGAACCTTCACAAGAGCGAAAATGTTCGGGTGGGCTCTCTGGACGGTCTTGTTGAGATGCGAATGCCAACCCTCGAGATGATTGTTCGTCCTTGGGCCGCTGGTATCGTGGTGATTCCATAGTCCGGCTCGGAACCGTGCATGGTCGTCTACCCAGGTGCTGGTGATGTAGTCCTGGAACTCATCCTTCTGTCCAATGGCAGGGGCGTCGTCCATGACCTCTATCCAGGCATTTTGTACCATGGCCACTGGGAGGAGGGGGAGTGCTGCTGCTCGTCGGACCCATCTGTGGACCTCAGGATCCTGCTGGTAGGCTTCGCTGAAGCCGAGGTTCTGTACTTTCCTCCAGAGAGCCTGGCTGTAGTGGAAATAGCATCCACGGACGTCGCAGTTGGGGAAGACGGTCTCAACAGCCAGCGTTGATGGCAGCGATTTCGAAATCCGTCTGGATGACATCAGGCTGAAGGGGGCGATCCCGTTGTCTGCTGGATCTTGTCGTTCAGGAGACGTAGCAGGCGTTCATAGGTGCGGCGTTGACGATTCGGCAGTAGACAGAAGACCAACTGGGTCATCTTCCCTCCGACTAGGCCATGGATGACGTACAGCTGATCCCAGAGAGGAGGACAGGAGTAGAAGGTGCCGTCCATGTAGAGGGTGTCCACTTCTTGCAGGAGGGTCAGGCGGTCACTTGTGGCGAAGCAGAGAATCTTGTCATCATCACCGTCATCAATGCAGAGGAAGGGCAGTCCATCTGTAGTCTCCTTGAAGAAGTCGGGTAGATTCACCTCGCTGAGCGTCTGGGGAAGTGGCGGCATCATCTTCCGTCTCTGCTTGTAGAGTCCACTCTTCATAGAATGGAACGACTTGACTGTTGCTGCTTCACCTCGGTCAAGTCGGGAAATCTCCTCATCGTAGATCACCTGAACTGGCGTCGTCTCAGTCTGTACCCGCTGCCTCAGGGAACTGGCAATCTTCAGGGCTACCTGGTCTTCTTGTGGGTGGTTGTGTGGGGTCCGATTCCGAACAAACTGTCCGACTGTCGTACACTTGCCAAAGCAGCCACATTGAACACACTTCCAGTGTACACACGTCTGTCGCCTGTTGTTGAGTCTGTAGCGGTATCCCTCCAAGAGTACCTGCTGTCCTCCTTTCTGTGATGTGAAGTATTCGACTTTCTTGGGATTTGCCATGATTTGCAATGAAGATTTGTATCACAAGCATTTTAAAGCAATACATTTCCTTCTCCCTTTAATAATCTCTCAATTAATTACTCTATTCTTCAATTTTAAAGCAATACATT